GCTGAGGTCTGCAGCCTGCCACCGCCCCGCAAGGACGCACCTAACAGAGGGACACCGCGGTCCCCCGTTCTTACTCCTCTTTCTCCAAAACGCCGCCTTGACTTTCACTCCCTCCTGGTCTCTGACATCTCAGAGTCCTTTTCTACTCTTCGGTGCGTCTTTCCTTGACCCATGAGTCCCACCCGGGCCTGGGAGGCCATCCCATGGGCTGCCAGGGTGCTTGCTTACCTGTCCAGGGAGACGGCGGCCAGCGTGAAGCTGCTGGCATGCATGGTGAGGAAGATGAGGAAGTGCACGGCCTTGCAGAGCAGCCAGCCGAACACCCAGCCATCCAGGGTGTAGATGGTGGCCTGGAAGGGTACACAGCACAAGATGAAACACAGGTCGGCCACGCCCAGGTTGAGGATGAACAGGTTGGTGGTGCTGATAGCCTGGCCCCCGCGCAGCAGCACGGCCAGCACCAGTATGTTGCCCACGGTGCCCACGAGAAAGATGAGCGCGAATAGCATGGGCACGATGACTGCCTCGGGCTGCCAGCTGTCCCCGCCGCCCGTCTCGCTCACGCCCGCGGCCCCAGGGCCACCCGAGCCGTTCATGGTGCCGCCGAACCCGAGGGCACCCGGGCTCCTGCAGCCCTCTGGGTCTTGTCGTGCGCGCAGGTCCGGCGGTCCAACCGCTGCAGAGCCTGGTGCGACTCAGCGGAGCTGCGGGCGGAGTGAGCTTCGCGGCAGCAGTCGCTGCAAAGGAGGATGCACTGGAGTCAGGGGGAGGAGCGAGCAGCTGTCGGGGGTGGGTTGATCCCCGGAGGCGGTTGGCCGCGAAGTGGGGAGGGCTGTCGAGTGGGCCTGGCGCGTCCGGGCCGAGACACAGGCAGTCCACCCCGGGGGCGCAGGGCCCTCTGGTGTCGTCGGCGCGCTTCAGCCCCCGTGTCGCGGCTGTGCCAGGCTGAGCCGCGAACTGACCTCCCCGGCAGACGCTGGAGTGCTGGAGGGACCGATCGCTGGGACCTGCGTGTGCGCTGCGCTGCCGGGGGCGCTCTTCCGCGACCCTGCGCGCCTTGGCGCTTCCCTGCAGCCTGGTGCGGGCGCCGGACCTCCCCGGACTGGCTGGGGGGTGTCCTAGAAAGATTTCCGGGCGGGTGCTAAGAGGTGGTGGTGGAGAGGTGACAAGGGGAGGAGGCAGATGGCGGGGCGGGGGTGGGGGCTCGGTTTTCTAGAATTGGCGAGTGGGACGGCCCTGCCCGGTATCGTGCGCCTCTGCCCATTTGTAATTCCCCGGAGGGCCACGCCTCGCAGAAGAGCTCAGAGACCCCAGAGAGCGCGGGTGGGGATGAGGGACCTGGGTCGGCTTCTTCTCATTCCCTTCTCTCCCACTGCACGTTCTCCCTCCAATTCAAGATAATAAATAGTGGTTATCGAGCATCTCCTGTGTCAGGCTCCGTCCTGGGCGTTCTGCCTCAGTTCCCTCAGTGGTAACACGGGGTAATAAGTCTCAGAGGGCTCTCGTGAGAACGGAACGGAATGTGTCTGCGAGTCCTGCAGCCAGTTAGTTGAATCTGAATGAATCAAACTCTTCTCTCTCTTCTTATCCTAGTCCAGCGATTTGCAACCTTTTTCACTTTATGGCACAGATAAACTAATTGCCAAAATTCTGTCGAATACCAAAAAATATGCTTTGCCAATCTGATGACAAAAAAAAAGGGGGGGAGAAAAAAGTAGATACAAATTTGATTCATTCACACCGGATGGCTGTGGTTTTGGCTGTTGTCTTTTTTTTTTTTTTTTTTTTGGACAGTCCAAGGGAATAGGGGTCAGTGCACCTGAATAAATATTCAGGTATTGTATGTTTTCAAAATTCTTATGGCATGGCATGCCTCTTGAAGCACATGGGTTGAAAATCGCTGCCCTAGTCCGATACCCAAAAAGGTAAAACTTTAATACAAAGTGACAGAGTTCCATGCACCAGCAGTATCTTCCTAGATGGCCAGGAGAGTTTTTAGGTTGCCGTAACATTTAAATATGTTTTCAGTTTTGACATGTTAGTCATTGAGCATTTGTGGCATGGGACCATTACTGTTTTTACAGAGTTCAGATCTGCCAGTTCACTGAGTGTGAGAATCACCGCCTTCTGCCTCCTCGCTGCTGCACCTTTCCCTGCCCATTCCTTGGCTCGTGGGTCAAGGCCATTCTTTTTCCTCTTCCCCCAACCCCCCAGGGCCTCAGCCTCAAGAGCCCAGCTACCTGCTCCAGTGGGCGGGAAACCTTATTCACACCCCTGCCCTGCCTGCCTTGTCGTTGAGTAGGAAGAGGAAAACAGTCCATGTTTATGGGGTGCTCGTCATTCATTTATTTATTTAGTGTTTATTAAGCACCTGCTCCTTAGCAGACACTGTTCTGGGTCCTTGGGACCCACCCGTGGGCTGTGCAAAGATCAAGGCCCTCCATGAGCTTCCTTTCTAGCAGGGGAGATGCACAATAAACATAACTCAGGTAAGTTATTAATCTATGACAAGCTGGTAAGTATTTGCAGGCAAGGTAGATGCGGGTAAGCAAGTTCGGGAGTCAGTGGTAGAGGTGATGGCACAGTTTAAAGTCGGGTGGTCAGGCAGGCCTCGAGTGAAGACTTGAAGGAGGTGAGGGGGCTAGGTTAGCAGGAATCTAGAAGAGTGTTTCAGATAGAGAGGAGAGCCAGCACGGGCTCTACCGCAGGCGCTGCCCAGGTCTCTAAGCACAGGGGCGGGTGTGGCTGTGCTGAAAGAACGGGAAGGAGACTGGCAGGAGAGGAGGCGAGAGGCCTGGCGCTGGGCCTTTGCGCTTGTAAGGGCCGTGGCTTCCAGTCTGAGTAAATCGAGGAGCCCCTGCAGAGTTTTGACTGAAGGGCTAACACAATCTGACTTAAAAAAAAGAAAAAAAAACTTTATTGAAATAGATTTCATATCCCATGCAATTTACCCATTTAAAGTCTTTATTTGGTTTTTAGTACATTCACAGAGTTGTACAACCATCACGACAATCAATTGTAGAACATTTTCTTTTTTAATTTTTTTAATTTTTGTTCAGCTACACTTTTTTAGCACATTTTCATTCCTCCCCAAAGAAACCTCTACCCTTTAGCCATGAGCCTTCAGTCCCTGCCCCCTTTCAGCCCTAGGCAACCACTGCTCTCTGTCTCTATAGATTGACCTATTCTGGACATTTCAAAGATGGAGTCATATCATATGTAGCCTTCGGTGTGGCTTCTTTCAGTTAGTACAATATTTTCAAGATATCTGTGTTGTAGCATGTATCAGTACTTTATTGCTTTTTATGACCAAGATTCCATGGTATGGATATACCACTTTCTATGTATTCGCTCATTGATGGATATTTGGGAGACTTAGCTTTTAAAGTTTATTTTTAATTGTGGTTAAATACATAAAACATCTAATTTACAATCTTAAACGTTTTTGAGTGTACTGTTTAGTATATTAAAACTGGTGTGCAGCCAATCTGCAGAACTTTTTAATCTTGCAAAACTGAAACTCTGTACCTATCAAACAATAACTCTGCATTTCCACTACATCGTATAAGTAGAATCATTACCCTATTTGTCTTTTGTAACTGGCTTACTTAGCACAATATTGTCAAGCTTCATCCACATTGTATCATGTATCAGAATTTCCTTCCTTTTTTTAAAAAGATTTCATTTATTTATTTTTAGAGAGAGGGGAAGGGAGGAAAAGAGGGAGAGACTCATTGATGTGCGAGAGAAACAGTGACCTGGACCACAACCCAGGCCTGCGCCCTGACCAGGAATCCAACTGGTGACCCTTCGACCACAGGCCCGCGTTCAGTCCACTGAGCCACACCAGCCAGGGCTCGTTTCCTTCCTTTTTAAGGATGAATAATATTCCACTGAATGGGTGGGCCACTTTGTTTATCCCTCAAGGGCCACTGGTTTGCTTCTATCTGTTGGCTATTGTGAATAATGCTGTTACAAATGTGAGTGCACAAATATACCAACCCTGCTTTCAGTTTCTTTGGATATATACCCAGAAGTGGCATTTCTGGATCATACGGTAATTTTTTAATTATCTGAAGAAACAGCATACTGTCTTCCACAGTGGGCTGCACCACTTTACATTCACACCAAAAGTGCACCAAGGTTCCAATTTCTCCATATCCTTGCCAGTGCATTATTTCGTTAGGATAGTAACCGTCCTAATGGGTGTGAGGTGATAACTCATTGTGGTTTTGATTTGTATTTCCCTGCTGATGAGTGATGTTAAGCCGAGACTGACTAAAACGCACCAGTTCGTTTCACTTTCGTAACAACCATCTTAATTAGTTATCCCCATTTAACAGATGGGGGGGGGAAAGGTGTAGGCGGAGAGAAAGTTATTCACCCAATATCTCCTAACCAGTAAAAGCGTAGCCAGAATGGAAGGGGCAGGATTTAGACTCCAGAACCGGCAGAGCCACACTGCAGAGCAAAGATCCGTAGTCTTTCCTCGCCTCAACAATTTTCTCTCTTTGAACTGCTCGCCCCAAAATCCAGAGAAGGGCACAGGTCCCCAGCAGGCATTAAGTTCCTCCGTCGGTGCTTCCTTCCTATAGGTGAACGCCCGTCTCCCGAGTCCCGGGGGGGTAGATACCCCGAGATCCGAAGTCATTAATCACCCGCCCGCTGTCTCTATGCGCGGGACGTGAGCGGGATCCTCCGTGCAAGGATGCAGGAGGTGGGGTTCCATCTCCTGGTTCTCTGCCTTTGGTGGACGGTAGGTCAGGTTGCCCCGGAGAAGACCTCTGCGGCTCTGATCCGAACAGCGCCCGCCGGCCTTCAGCCTCGGGCCCCGCCCCTGGGGACCCGGACGCCAGCGCAAGCGCAAGCGCAAGCGCAAGCGCCCTGCAACAACTGGTCGCTGCCTGCGGGCAGGGCCGTGGGCGGCGGAGTCCGCCGCTATCCCGTCAGCCCGTCCGGGAAGGTCCCGCTCTCTCCCGCCGCGATCGTCACGCCTCCTCTATCCCGTCCTGCTCCGCGGCGCTGGGCAAGATGGCTGCTGAGAAACAGGTTCCTGGTGGCGGCGGCAGCGGCGGCGCGGGCGGCGGCAGCGGCGGCGGACGCGGCGCCGGAGGAGAGGAAAATAAGGAAAACGAGCGACCTTCAGCCGGATCGAAGGCAAACCAGGAATTTGGCGATAGCCTAAGCTTGGAGAGTATCCTAGACTAATCGGGCCTAACTTGGAATGACTACGTGTCGATCTGGCGTGCCGGGGGCGGCAGAGGCAGCGGGTCCCGTAGGTCCAGGGCAGGGAGACCGAGGGTGGCAGTTTCTTTCGCCCATACTTTTTGACGGAGTTCCAGGGTCTGTGTTATGAACGGTCCCTCCTCGCATCTCCAGGCTGGGGAACGTCCTTTTAGACGGCATCAGTGTTGGGTAGATTTCTGCACTTGCCCCGCAGTTGCCTAGTTGGTGGGCTGCTGTCGGCAATGACACTCTTGGCCAACCCTGGGGGCTCCTTCTCTGCACCTTCATCTACTGAACCGGGGAGAGGAAACTCCGATCTGGGCGTTTTGGCTTAATGCTTTTGTCAGACAGGCGTCGGAGAATGGGTAGTAAAATAAATCAGTTTGCTCTTCTGGAAATGAAGGCAAAGATCGGCTGCTCTGAGGGAAGGCTTGTTGCCCATTTTGAATGTACATCATCGTAGCTTTTTAGCATCTCTTGTGTAATTTTCCGAATAGAGCTGTAGGCAATTTTTGAATAGATCTGTGGAGAGTCGTTCAGATGATCTGGAGGAGTTGGTTTGTAGTTTACATCAGAGAGGAATCACAATTGAGGGCTGATGATACTAGTTGAGGCTTTTTGAAAGGAAACAACAAATAGAGAAAATGTAGCTGGATTCCTGAACTAACACACTTAGCTTGACATCTTAATGTAGTTAAGTTTTCAGGAGGCTGGAGTTTTACTTTTTGAACTACTGTTCCAAATAGATGTTAGGATGCCTCGATTCTACTGCGGACCTTGTATCTCCTCCTTTTTAATTATTGAAGTAGTCCTTTTAGTTTTCAGTATTTTAAAATACACCTATAAAGAAGCATTGAGGAAACTTGGAAAGAAAACTAAAATTGTAGAAAGAAAGGTCATTGGACTTTCTAAAATTTGGTACATTATCTTAAAAAAATTTAAGATTCTTAAAAAGAGAGTTTGGTCAGGGTTTTTTCTTTTAAAAGAAAAACTTCAATATTTTTATTCAAACTGTGGCCTAGTTTGGTTGGCATGTGCTAACCATGCAGCGTCCCAGCTGTTAAGGAAAGTTAAAGTTGGCAGATGGAGGAGGTTATGCAAATAGGGAGAAGTACACGTCATTTATGGCCTGAATCTGCTGCAGTGAGTTGAGGAAATTACTGGGTCCACTTGTAAATCTGTGGGAACCACATCAGTTACAGTCAGCATTTAGAAACCAGCAATTTTATTTAGTGGCCAGCAATACCCTCCTCTTTCGGTCTGAAAATATTCAATAGTGATAGTTAAGCCAATCAGGTTTTCTATGTGCTGAGCCCTGCCCCGTGGCAAGGTAGCTACTGAAAATGCTGACAGCAGGTTTCACAAGTTATTATGTTAGGTTTTTCAGAAATGCTTAATATGCTGTGGTTTGATACCAATATAGACCAATGGAGACATGTTTTGATTTATTTGGGTTCTTGCCATTGTAAGTTTTTCCTCAACCTTGGCTCCAGTTCTTCAGATCATTAAGGAATCCCAGCAGCAGCACGGTTTGCGGCATGGAGATTTCCAGAGGTACAGGTTAGTATCATGTGCAAATCGTTGGGGCATTTTCAGACTTAGTTTGCCTGTCTTAATATCCAACTTGCTCTGCAATATCAGAAAGTGTACCTAGAAAGTCTAGTTCTGAACTTAAGATTGAATTCTCAAAAGGTACATAACTTTCAAATTTAAAGTTTTATAATGAATAAAAGGAGCCAACCTTTGTATTCATTTTCCCTCACAATATTGTAGATACATTGGAAGCTTCTGCTGAAATTAATAAGCCGCTAATAGTAATCATTTTTTTTTTAATTTCACCATATTGTGTAGTTTTGGTTAAATGCAAGGCTTTACATCATTATAATTCATTGGTAAACTTTTATAAAGGCCTTTAAGTTGGAAAACATTGAATAAGAGTCTAAAAAATAAAATAGATGCCTCATGCGTAATGCAGCTCAATACTTGGAAAGCAGAAATACCTAACTTTCTATATTGTAGATGCAGGCTTTGGCTATCCGCTTTGAAAGGTAATACGAAACCATCGTGCATCTCAGAATCTAGGGAGTCAGCCATACGGTGAAGGGCCAGCGGCGCTGCAGGGGCAGGGGGCTGCCGGGGGTGGGGGGAGAGCAGCGGGGGAGGAGGCGGGGAGGGCCGTGTAGGCCATTGCGGCGCTCATTCGGGTGAGAGGGGGAGCCACTGAAGAGTTAAATAGGAGACTGTTAGGACTTGGTTTGTTTTTAATTCTAAGGAAATTTCCCAAAACAAATGTAGAGTTGATAGTACAGTGAACCCATCAGATATTCTATTATACGGATAAACTTTCTGCCCTTTTTTATTGCATTTGTTCCCTCTCCTTTAAAAAAAATTATTGAAGGATTTTTTTAACCATTTTATTAAAGTACAATTTATATACAAAGAAGTGTACAGAAATTGATCCACCTCTGCCCAGCCCGTAATCAGCACCTAGATTAAGAGACCATTACCAGCTTCCCGGAAGTCCCCCTTTTGCTCCTGCTAATCACAAACTCCTCCTTCCCAAAGTGCACTGACTACAATGGTCACTCCTTACACCGCAGGTCAGGTTTGTTTATTTTTGAAACATCTACATAGCATCACGCAGGATACTCTTTGGTGAGGCCCTTCGTTTCAACATCGTGTTTGAAGTTCTTCCATGTTGTTGTGTATATTTGTTGTAGTTCTTTTATTCTCTTCTCTACGTGGTTTTCTGTCATGCGAGGGCACCGCTGTTTTCCAGTGTAGCCTTGCGGGACGTTTGGCCAGTTCCCTGTTGGGGCTGCTTCCCATGGTGCTGCTGTAGACATTCTTTCTTAGCTTATGTCTTGGTGGGGGGAAGCATTCGTATCTGCTTGCTCCAGCCCTGCCGTGGGATACCACGGGATTCGCTTATGTTCGGCCCTGGTAACATTGCCAAGCAGTTCAAAATCGTCACACCAGTTTTTCCATATTCTTGCCAGCATTCGGTATAGTCTGTATTGGTTATTTTTGCTGAATTATTTTAAAGCAAACTCTAGACACCGTACCACTTCGCCCATCAATAATACTTCAGCTTGTATCCAACAAAGAAGGCTTTTAAAAAACATAACCAAAATACTGTTATCCCATCTAACCAAATTAACAGTAATTCCTAGTATCATCTCATCTAATGATGTAAATAATATGAAAATACTGTCTTTATTCAGTTTTCCTTCATTTTCTTCAGTACTTACTTTTTTTAAATCTGAAATAGCCTCATGCTTGTAAGCGCTCTGTGAGGAGCATGTTTTCCTGGACAGGCGCGAGTAGGTTGCCCGCCTGCTGCCCAGCGGCCGTGAATACCCTGGTGTGTGCTTCCACAGACAAGGAAGTGCCCCTGTGTTAGGGCTGCTGCCAAAAGCAGGGAGCCGACGGCGGATTGTTAGCGTCTAGTCCTCAGACCCCTTTCAGGATTCCCTAATTGTCCCAGTAATTTCCTTTATAACAAAGGACCCAGTTCAGAATGGTTGCATGTAGTTTTTATGTCTCTTTTATTTTCAGTCTGTTTCTTTGATTTTTCAAGATCTCGATGCTTTTTTATTTACTGATTATTTATTTTTATCCTCACCCGAGGGCATTTTTTTCCCCATTGCTTTTAGAGAGAGAGAAACATTGATGTGAGAGAGAAGCGTCGATTGGTTACTTCCCATATGTGCCTGTACCGGGATCGTACGTGCCCGGACCAGGGATCAGGAACCAGTAACCTAGGTATGTGCCCTGACCGGGAATCAAACCCGAAACCGTTTGGTAACGGGACGATGCTTCAACCCACTGAGCCACACCGGCCAGGGCAAGATCTTAATGCTTTTGAAGATTGCAGGCCACTTATTTTGTAGAATGTCATTCAGTTTGAGTTTATCTGATGTCTCCTGTTGATCAGATTCAGGTTATGCACCGTTTTCAGGAATGTCACAGAAGTGATGCTGTGTTGACCTCAGTTCACCCGCCTGGTGGCACACAATTTTAGCGTGTTCCACTACGGACGCCTACTTTGATCACTTGATTAGGGTGGTGGTGGCCAGGCTTCCCCACTGGCAAGTTTCTCCTTTTCCCTTTGTTGTTCCTAAGTGTTTTGTAAGGTAATATTTGAAACTGTAAAATTCCATTTGTCGTCATGCTTTCAGTGTATTTATATGTACTCATAGTTCCCTGATTGATTCTGTGAGTTGTGATCTGATGCCGTCACATATATTTTGATGTTCTGATTGATTTAGATTTGGCCAGTAAGTTCCTTTATGTTGGCTACTGTGTCCTTTGACATGCTCCCATCTTTCTTTAAGCTTAGGATATTGAAGTGTTATTTATATACATTAAAATTCATCATTTTCAGGTTTGATGAGTTTTGGCAAATGTGTATAGTTAGATAACCATTATAAAATCAAGAAATAGAACATTTTCATCATCCCAGAAAGGTTCCCCCATAGTCAGCACCCTCTTCCCGCCCCCCCTCCTGTCAGTCACTGTTCTGCTTTCTGTCTCTGTACCTCTGGTTTGGTTTTGGTTTTTTTTTTTTTTTTTCTCAGAATGTCACATCAGTGGAATCCTACTGCCTATGAGCTTTTGTGTCTAGTTTCTTTCGCATAACATGTTGCTCATCCCCTGTAGGGTTGAACAACAATCTGTTTATCTGTTCACCAGTTAATTGGATATTGATTGATTACAATTTCTGTTGTTTTCTAGTTATCAGTTTTTTTAATATTGCATTTTAATTGGATTTTTGGTGGTAAATATATATATAACATAAAATTGACATCAATGTGTACCTTTCAGTCATTTTTATATCTTTAAATACATAAATGCGTTCGTATATGTGTGCCAACCAAGTAATATTTTTGGTTTCCTAGTCTTTTTCTATGCACTTTTTCATAAGCTTGCTCATATTGTAGATACAACTTTGAATCCCGCTTTTTTGCCTATAGAAATGTTCTACACATATGATTCTTACTAGTTGCATTATTACCCAACATATAGGCATACCACAGCTTACTAACCTTTTCCCCCAAGTTCGTTATGTATGATAGCCAGTTTTGTAGGTTTAAAGTTTTTGTTCCCCACATCTCTGTTCAAGCCTTTGTATTTTTTATTATTTCTTGAATATAAGATAGTACAGAAGTAGACTGTTGGTTCAGAAAGTATGAATATTGGATCTTGATAAATGTATCCATATTGCCGTACTTTATTTACTAATTTATATTTCTCTCCATAATATAGAAGTGTTCCATTTGATGATTATTTAAAAGGGTGATAATAAAGCAAAAATTATGAATTGAGGGAAAAGACCTAGTCTGTAGATTCAGCCAGACTATTATTTTTCTTTTTAATTACCTATACCCTGGTAGCTTTAAGACTAAGATGCTAAAGTATCAATTAAATATTATCCGGTATTGTAAATTATACGCTATATTATTTGGTTAAGGGTTGGTAAAATTTTGTATGTATTTTTACACTAGTTAAGTCAGAATACTTTTACTGAACATGTATGTGTTAGGCATTGTGCTGAGAAATTTAAAAATAAAATCATCTGTACCAAAGGAGTTATTATTAGTGAGACAGAAATGTAAGAACATAATTATAGTGCTCTAGACTGTGACAGACTTAAGAATGAAGGGCTGCCTGAGCACAGGGGGCCTGGCGCAGGAGGTCCTCTCTCAGTCCTTCAACACCCGTCACAAGTCCGCTCCAGGGAAAGCGTTAACAAGACGAGAATGATTACTTATGTCCTTTACATTCAATTGGACGTTTGTCCTGTTTTTCTTCATTCATTTCTTTCTTTCTTTCTTTCTTTCTTTCTTTCTTTCTTTCTTTCTTTCTTTCTTTCATTGATTTTAGAGAGAGGAAGGGAAAGAAACATTGATTTGTTCCACTTATTTATACATTCATTGGGTGATTCTTGTATGTGCCCTGACCTGGGATCAAACCCACAACCTTGCTTAGCAGGACGACTCTAACCAACTGAGCTACCCAGGCAGGGCCTGCGCTGCTGTCTCGGTTACCGTTTTAGGTGCATGATCTGCCCCAGCTAGAGTATGGGTTCTTTGAGAACGGGTACTGTGTCCTCTGTCTCTTCATGTTCTCTGTGATGCCAGTCAGGCTGCTCTGCATGTTTTAGCTCAATGAATGTCTGCAAGATGCTGTGTGGTACCTACAGCAACTATAAGTAGAACACGTGCAACCTTTGACCTTACGTTAGTATAGAATTTACTGTTGAAAACACTGTCCTCTTGGCTGAACAATTTTTGTGGTTTCTCACAGGGGCTACTGTTCCCGTAGACAAAGACGTCTCCGGAAAACACTCAACTTCAAGATGGGGAACAGACACAAATTCACAGGAAAAAAAGTAACCGAAGATCTTCTGACTGATAACAGGTATTGACTGCCCAGTGCTAGGAGCTGAATATTACTTTTTGCTAATACATTTATTGAACAATTACGATGTGCCAGCCTCTCTAAATTCTTCATGTGACTTTTTTATTTTCCAGACTTTATTTATTTATTTTTAGAGAGGGGAAGGATGTGTGGTTGCCTCTCAAGCACCCCCCACTGGGGACCTGGCCCACAACCCAGGCCTGGGCCCTGACTGGGAATTGAACCGGCCACACTTTGGTTCGCAGGCTGGCACTCAGCCCACTTAGCCACGCCAGCCAGGGCTCATGTGACGTTTTGGTAGCTCTGTGGAATGGGTATTTTTACTATTGCTGTGTTAAAAGATGAGAAACTGAGCCTCAAAGAGGTTCAAGAACTTGTTCAAGAACTGTGGGGAATGGTAAATGTTAAAGTCGGTGATTAAAATCTAACCAGGTATTGGGTAAGGGTTCCGGAATTCAGATTTCAATGAGCTTGCGTAAATCAGCATATCTCAAGCGAAGTCTGGCTGTAAGTGAGGATAGAAGAGTCCTGTATTCCAGTGCTGGATGCACCCGTGCCTCATATTTGCGGAAGAATTCATCTGTCAAGCAGCATGTGTTGCAGCTCTGTAGGTCAGTTCCTCAAACCTTGGCCTGCAGGCCAAACTGGTCCTCCTGCCACCTGTTCTTGTAAATAAAGTTTTATTGGAACACAGACATACTATTGTTTACAGCTGCTTTGTGCTACAATAACAGTAATTGTGATGGAAACCCCATGGTCTCTGGAGTCTAAAATACTTACTGTTGGGTCTTTTACTAAAAAAAGGTTCCTGTCCCCTGGCCTAGCATGTGACCAGGACTGAGCTAAATGCCATCTTGGATGTAGAAGAGTTTAGGAGGCGTAGTTCTTAACCCTCGCTGACTGCGGTCTTGTCGTGAGGTGCAGGCCAACTACAAAACAGGAAGCACTGCAAGACAGTGAAATGCCATGTTGTGTGTCCTTGACTCCCAAGTCTAGGAGGGGAGAGAGCAGCTTGACGGTTCTCAATGGGGAGCAGCAGCCGGCCTGGGAGCGGCGGGGCCGTGACGGGTTCGCGAGAGGGAAGACGGTTGTGTGTCAGGAAACGCCGCGCCGTGGCGTCCAGGCACTGTCATCTCTGGACGGCTGTTAGCCTCTGCTCAGGCAGCGAGGAGTCTGGGCGCTTGGCGTGTGGAGACAGGCAGAAAACTAGAGCACAGGGGCCGCCGCGGGCCAGGGCAGGACCTCCTGGATAAATCTGATGTGATCAAGTTGGGAAGAGACTCTCGTAATAGGGAGAACCTTTCTTTTAGAGAGAGAAGGGTGAGCTGCCATTTAAGGAAGATGAATCAAGGCAGTAGTTTAAACAGATTCGCTAGTGTGTTACATGTGGTACTGCATGGGAGAGTCGGGCCCAGAAAGATCAGTACTTTGCCCAGAGTCACACAGCCAGTGAACGATGGCCCCGGAAGTCCGACCCAGACTCCAAAGCCTCTTTCTTAGCCACTTCCGCGTGTGCTTGGGCAGCCTGCCTCTGTTTGCTAAAATTTGGGACGGGTCAGTCTGGGTTTGGCAGGTTGGAGGGGGGAGCAAGCTTTTCGGTGAGACCGTCTGGCAGTTGGTTAGAAATCCCAGGTCGAGCGGGCAAGGGGATCAGAGATGCTGATTTGGGAGCTTCGTCGATGGGGCGATGCCGTGGGAGGAGGAACTAGGAGGCGAGCCAGGGAGGCCGAGGGAGATGTTGAGAGGCTGCGGGCGGCGCCCTAGGGCGGGCCTGAGCCCTGCGCTCGGGCCTCTGCCGTTCAGCTCGCTTCTTCTCGCCAACGGTTCAGATACTTGCTCCTGGTTCTGATGGACGCCGAAAGGGCCTGGAGCTACGCCATGCAGCTCAAACAGGAAGCCAACACGGAACCCCGGAAGCGGTTCCACTTGCTGTCCCGCCTGCGCAAAGCCGTGAAGCACGCGGAGGAGCTGGAGCGCTTGTGTGAGAGCAACCGCGTGGACGCCCAGACCAAGCTGGAGGCGCAGGTGAGCAGCTCGGCGTCAGCCCTGCCTCAGTGGGGAGACAGGGACGTGGCTTTAATGAAATACCATTAAACAGAATAGAGCTGCTTAGGTTGTAAAGTGATAGCCAGGAGATGAAAAACTGATCTTGGTTTTTCAAGGTAAAGTTGGTGTGTTTCTTGTTTTGAGCTCTTGGTTTTTAATAACCAGCTCTGACTTTTAAAGATAGCTCATGTTCCTTTTTTTTTGTAAATTCTTACCTGAGGATATGTTTTTATTGATTTTTTTAGAGAGAGAGGAAGGCGGGGAGAGAGGGGGGAAACTTCCGTCAGTCGCCCCATCAGTGCCCTGGCAGAGCTCAGACCCACGACCTAGGCGTGTGCCCGGCCTGGGGGCCTGGTCTGGCCAGGGCCAGAGGCATGTTTTAAGTCAAATGAAGAAAACAAATTTCCTTTATTTTGAAGTTCTCTCTTGGGAAATAAATGAATCGTAGCAAATTACCTGTGTCTCACATTCGCTTAGTGAAAAGCTTTCCTCTTTTAAAGTCACCCCGAGTATCCGTGTCCTTGAAACCCAAGTCCGAAGCGGGTTGGGGAGGCTGAGCGGCGGCAGCGGGCCGGGCCTTGGGCACCTGAGCAGCCTCCCTCCCTGCCTCCCTGCCGCCCTGCCGCCCTCCCTCCCTCCTTCCCTGCCTCCCTGCCGCCCCGCCGCCCTGCCGCCCCCAGGCTTACACGGCGTACCTCTCGGGAATGCTGCGCTTCGAGCACCAAGAGTGGAAAGCTGCCATCGAGGCTTTTAACAAATGCAAGTAAGTGGCGATGATTGTTTCTGTGAAAGTTAGCACAGTTTCTTGTTTTTCTTCTCTTTGGAAGTGTGGATTATTCTCTTTCCTCCTCAGAACACGCCAGCTCTGGTAGTTGGTAGAAGGGCCTCAAGCGACATGTTCTGTTTTTAGCCACTGTGTTCCATGTGAGTTTATTTTCTTAATATAAGGCTGCTGTGAAGAAACCTAGTGTTTCTTTCCTCACAGAACCATCTACGAGAAGCTCGCCAGTGCTTTCACGGAGGAGCAGGCCGTGCTGTACAACCAGCGCGTGGAGGAGATCTCGCCCAACATCCGCTACTGCGCCTACAACATCGGTGAGCGGGGCCACCAGGCGCCGGGCCCCCGGAGAGCCTGGGCTGCGTGCGGCGCTCGGCCCCTTCCCCGCCGCCTGCCCTGGGCGTGGGCTCTGGGTGATGAGAAAGGTAGAACTTAAAGGTAGAAAAAATACTATAATTATTCAATAAAAAGAAAGAAAGAAAAAGGTAGGACTGTCAGCCCTGCCGAAGACCGCAGAAGGCAGGGCCTTAGCTTTCGGTCCCGCCCTGCCATCTTCAGTGCCCCCGCGAGCCTCGTGCAAGGACGGGGGTCACTGCGCCGCCTGTAGGGGGAGCGTCGTCACGGCAGAGGTCAGCCTCGTGGTTTTGGAGAGGACAGGCTGGACCCTTGAGGGTTTCCCTCTCTCGTTCTCAGGGGACCAGTCAGCCATCAATGAACTCATGCAGATGAGGCTGAGGTCTGGGGGCACCGAGGGTCTCCTGGCTGAAAAGTTGGAGGTAATCTAGCATGCACGTTTTTGTGAAAAGTCTTTGGTTTAAAGAAGTCCAGAAAAAGAAGTAATGCATAATCCCACCACCCAATATAATTGCTATTAGTATGTACATATTTATATCTATATATTTTTAGTAAAACACTTCTCATGTAATATTTTTAAGTATTCAACTATTTTACCATGTTACATTTACTTTTTAAGCAACGTAGGCTCCTAGAAAAAGTAGTAAATACAAAGGATGGTGGAACAATACATAGGTTACCATCCAGAGGTAGCCAGTATTATAGTAATATGACAAATAACTTACAGACTTTTGTATGTCTGGCGGGGGGGAAGGTGTGCATTTTATTTATTTGTGTATTTAAAGACTTAATTTATTTTAGAGAGTGGGGAGGCAGGGGGGAGAAAGAGAGGGAGAGAAACATGGATGTGCAAGAGAAACATTGATGGCTTGCCTCTCCCACGCCCCCAACCAGGGGCCTGGCCCCCAGCCCAGGCGTGTGTCCCGACCGGGAATCAAACCGGAACCTTTCAGTGTGCGGCCCATTGCTCAGCCCTCTGAGCCACGCCAGCCAGGGCAAAAAGGCGTGCTTTTTAAAAATGGGATCTCAGTATACACTATTTCATAACATTCTTTAAAAATATAATGTGACATGCAGTTTTTCCATTTTAATAAATTTCTACATCATCTTTTGATGGGCGCATAGTACTCCTTTGAAGTCTGTTTTAATTGACCACTTCACTGTTATTAAGTGGTGAACAGTATTACCATCAACATCTATGTCTCTAGTTTTTATACACATTCTTAGTTATTTCTTTAGGATAAATTCCTAAAAGTGGAATGTTTTGAAAGCTTTTGACACATACTGACAAAATATTTTAAGTTTCTACTAATTTACTTTTCTGCTTGGGGTGTATACAAATATGCTTTTCTACTTACACCCTTACCAGAACTTAGTGATGGACTTTTAACGTCCTGTTTTATCCTTTTAAAACTTGAGTTCCTGTAAGCCAAAGTGTGTTAACCAAGGAGAAATTTAAATACAAATCTACACGTACTCTATAAGGTATAATAACGTTGGTTACAGAAAAAGACACGTGCTAATTTCTTCTCATCCCACCTCGGTCACTCACACCGGCCAGGTCAAGCTTTAACTCTCTGACCCCCCTCCAGGCCCTGATCACTCAGACTCGAGCCAAACAGGCCGCTACCATGAGCGAAGTGGAATGGAGGGGGAGGACGGTCCCCGTGAAGATCGACAAAGTGAGGATCTTCTTGTTGGGATTGGCCGATAACGAGGCGGCCATTGCGCAGGTAAAGAGGAAGTACCTGTTCTCCCTTCGGTATGAGTCTGCAGAGATGTGTGTTTTGTGTATTTAAAGTGTAGTATTTTGTTGGTGTTCATTTATCACAAAACAGAAATGTGTCTTAATTCTGTTGGGGATTTGGTAGCAGTCTCAAGATGCACCCTCTTGAATAAAATTATTTTAAGAGCTAAGTTTATAGAGGAGATGTTCTCTTTAAAGGGGAAAGAGATTGACAGCTGTCGACGTAAAACTGGGAGCAGTGCAGGACTGGCCTAGGGCGAGGGGCAGCTTCTGGCCCAGCAGGCGGTGCAGCCGCTTAGCTGTGCGGCCCTCCTGCCTCGGCCCCCCTGTCCCAGGATCCTGGCCCTAGGGGGCCGCCTCTTGTTCCTGGCCCTCTGAAGGAGAGCCCGGCAACGCCGGAATATCTCGCTTGGTGTGTGGTACGTATGCGCTATTCGTGCAAAGCTGCTTGCTGACGTAACTGTTGCCCGTTTGAGGGTGTGAACAACCAAGTGAATTGCAAGAGATAGGATCCTGGTGCTCTTGGTGTGTGCAAAGTAGACAGTGATTAAGGCACTTTTTAGAGCTCCTCCTCCATAGGAGGCAAAGAACCTCTAAAAAAACCGAAAACAAACCAGGCTGCTCAGTGTGTCCACAGCCTCACCAAGGACCGGTGGTGTTTCTTCCATGAGACTCCACAGTAAGCTGTTGACCCTGAAAATTTGCATATAGGGGCGCTTTGCTAATTGTGCTGGGGAGTTGTTTTAAGCATCCAAACTTTTCAGTGACATGTTCCAAAATAGCTACTGTGGTTTGGGGACACCTTTCAACAATGGAATTTCTTTGTGCCTTTGTCTGTGGTGCAGATTGCCCCTCTAGTTTCTTTTATTTGGTTAAATGACAAGGCTAGAGCAGTACCAGGAAGTTTATTTTTTTTCCCTTAAACTACAAGTCTGAGAAACTTTTTTTAAAAATTCTCACTCGAGGATATGTTTTTCTTGATTTTAGAGAGAGAGGAACAGGGAAAGAGAAAGAAACATTGGTTTGAGAGAGAAATAATCGATTCGTTGCCACCTGGGAAGTGAACGCACAGCCTCCTGGTGTAAGCTGCCACGCTCCCGCCCGCAGAGCCGCCGGCCGGGGCTCGCTCAGTCTTGCGACGCCGAGCCAGCCAGTGAATATGGTGCTTGGTCAGAAGCAGGTGGAATTTAGCGTCCGTGCTTGTCCTCTCTGTTCCTCTTAGGGTGCTCGCGAACAGCAACAGCTTGCTTAACTAAATGGTCGGGATTCTCCAGATGATCAGGAGCAAGTCCTTTGGACTTAATAGTCCCCAAGACCTGCCCTGGCCAACGTGGCTCCGTTGGTTGTGCATCGTCCTGCAGAGCAGACGGTCGCAGTATCATCCCTAGTCAGCCATGTGCCCAGGTTGTGGGTTCAGTCCCCAGGTGGGGCGCTTGCGAAAGGCAGCTGATTGTTTCTCTCCGCCTCTCTCCCTCCCTTCCTCTCTCTTCAGAAAATGAAAGGGTCTCTATTTAGAAGGGGAGGGAGGGAGAGAGAGAGGAAGAGAAACATCTGTGTGTGACAGAAACATCAACTGGTTGCCTCTCACACTCCAATGGGGGACCTGGCCTGCAAGCCAGGCATGTGCCCCGACTGGGAGTCGAACGAGCAACCTTTTGGTTGGCAGACCGGCGCTCAACCCACTAAGCCACACAAGTCAGGGCTAAATAAAATCTTTAAAAAAAAAACACACAAGATTTTATTGGCTGTCACAAAACTATATGATGATGTAGCGGATCTTTGTTACATGGATTTTTCCATATTTTGGATTACTGTGCTAAAATAAATGGCCTAAAATTAGAATACCATGTAAATTTAAATATATACCATATTTTGCTGTGTATAATGTGCATTTTTTAGGCCCAGATTTTTGAGGGAAAAATAAGGATGCGCATTACACGTGGGTAGTATTAATTCTGTATCTGTATGTTTTTAATTCTTTTATTTATGCCTGTACGTTAAAAGTGTAATAACTCTAAAAAACAATAACAATATCCGTATGCAAAATAATACACTGGAATATGATAATCAGTTTTGTTTCTAAATATGAATAAACAAAAAATTGAACTAAAAAATTAAAATGGAAGATTTTTTTTTCCTGTAAGTTTGGGCCAAAAACATGGTTGCACATTATATGTGGGAGTGGCAAAATATGGTATATTCGACCTCTCTTCTGATTAACGTTCTTTAAGAATTTTCAATCTTGATTCAATACAGATGTTTATTTTAAAGCTCTTGTTTATTATTAAGCATCTACCCAGAGAAGTCAGGTAGAGAGAGTGTAAAGGAATCTCTGTATTCAGTAGGCCTTTTTCTTCACAGGCTATGTTTTGTTATGGAATTTAGAGTCCTTATCAAGAAGAAAACAGTTCTTTAATAAATAACTCTTTGCCGTGCTTTAATAGGCCAATCATGAAAGTTATGCATTGAGAAAACATACAAGTGCTTCTGCACACAAGGGTCAGAGGTCTCCCTACCGGGCAGGGTTCACACAGGTCCCCGGAGGGCTGGTCCAAGATCTCCTGTTGCGGGTGAGTCAGGATTAGTAGCCAAGGTACCTGCCCCAGCTGCTGCAGGCTTCCGTGGCTAAGTGTCGCTGCTCCTGGGTCACGCTGGGTCATCAGGAAACCTAGGGTAAGGCTTCCCTGCCCCAGTGAAAATCGGGACATGCAGGCACAGTAGGAACGCTGTGTCCCACGAGGGACAATGGAGCGTTTGGACGGCACGTGAGATGGAAGGGTTAGGAGGAGCCGGAGGGGGACAGTTTCAGATCTTCAAGGCCGAAGGGTATTGGAAGCCTTTTAACATAGCAAATGACATTGATTAAGTTCATTGTAATTAATTACATTGATACCTAGGACAACCCCACTTGGTTTTGATGCATTGTGGTGTTAAGTATTGCTGATTCAATTTATTACCTCTAAGAATGTGTATATCTTCATGAGGAATAGTGGCCTGTAATTTCCTTTTCTTGTTATGTCTTTTTCAGGGTTTGATATCAGGATTATAAATACTTCAGTAAACAACTTTGGAGGTGTTTCTCCTATGTTTTCTGAAATTTGTGTAGTATTAGTATTTTTTTCCTTAAGTGTTTGTTATAATTCATTAGTGAAAGTATTGGGAATGGCATTTTTTGTGTGTGGGAAAAGTTGTTGTTTAGGGGGGAATATAATTGACAACGTTAGTTTCAAGGGTACAACGTAATGATTCGATATTTGTGGGAAGATTTTAAAATTTGGTTTTGTTTGTTTTAAACAAATATAATTCCTTTACAAGATACAGGGCTATTCAGATTTTCTGCTTCATCTTGTGTCAGTTTGGATGAGTTTTATTTTTCAGAGGAATTTATTAATTTCATGAAAATTGTTTAATTTACTGTCAAAGTTTATAATATTCCTTTATCATTTTAATGTTTGTAGGCTCTATAGTGTCATGTCACATTAATTACTAGTTAATGTCCCAGTTGTGGTGAATACAATTATCTCTGGTTTTAACAATATTACAGTGTATTGAGGTCACTTCTGAGTATCAGAGATTTAAGTAATGTAGTAAATGTAAAAGATGTAGCTCAAACAAAATGTGTATTAACCCCAGAGAATCCTGGTGGGGTTTTAATATTGGAAACAGTTCAGTGTGCCTTGTCCTCTGGCACACATACACCAGATCCAGCTGGTAAATAAAATAATTAAATGCAGTGTCAAAGGTAACAAACCCTTAGATGTCAGATCTAGCTGATTAAATGTCTACTGAATTGAAGAACCATGGGCTATTAAACATGGAAAGTAACCTTTCGCCATTTGAGATGAACCCCGGGAAGAACCACTGGCCGGCCCCTTGCTGCCAGCGTCCGCGATTTGGCCGGCTGGGGCCGGGCCTCACCCGCCCAGCCGGCGCACGCTGTTGTGCCGAGCTCTGCCTGGCACCCCGGAGCCAGCTGTGGCCAGCAGGCCCTCATGTCAGTGTCTCCTGGCTGCCCAGCCCTCACTGCCTGCTGGTCGAGGCTTTTGTGACTTTAAATGCTGAAACAGCATGGAAGTTTACTGAGAACCATGGAAGGAAGAAATAATTCTGGGAGCTAAAAGCATTGGACTGAAAAGGCTGCAGCTGAGAGCGAATCCGCTGCCAAAATCCAGTTGCAAAACCCTGAGCCTCTTCAGCCAAGCTTTAAGTCTCCATGTCTTTAGTGTTGCCTTGCTCTAAAATTTATTTCTCTGTTGCCACATTAGTCCTTGGTCACCACGGAGGCTGTGTTAGGAGGCAGCTCTCGGGGGGCGGGGAGCCAGTTTAAAGTATCTACAGGTTTGATGGTTCTTACCGAGTCATGGCTAATAATGTTCTGTTGTTTGAGTGGAAAGGAGACCACTTATCCTTCTTCTTAAAGAAAATCTGTCCTTCAGGGAGGCTTGTCTCCCCCTTCACCAGGCACGCGTAGCTCGCTCCGCTCGGTGGGCACGCCCTCGGTTCTCCGAAGGGCGCGGTGGGGAATGCGGTCGGATGGCCTTGATGGTCTCAGTCACACCGCCCCTTCCAGCAGTTTTCGTAGACAAGTGAAAACAGTCTGAAAGTCTGTTTTCAATAGCAGGGGCGTCTCTAGTTCAGGATGTACAGCAGCTGGCTTTCCTCTGCCCTGCTCAGCCTTCAGGTGACCTCGAGCCACATCCCGGCGTGTGCCAAGTTTTATAACTGTGGAGCTGGGATATGTGTATTAGGACTAATGAATAACATGTTCCTCCTGGGCCTCAGGTTCTCTGCGTCCCAGGTGCAGCTGGGAAAGGGCGCAGGCAGAGCACACGCGGAAGCCGGAGCTTGCCTCGAGGGTTGGGCGCACTGTCTGCGTGTTCAGTGGCTGCCTCGGGAGGCCTGTGAGTGGATTCTGAGGAATCCTGCTCTCACTGTACACAGATATTTCTCTTTCCTTTGTCCTTTCAGGATTATTTTAGCTTCCAAGACAGGCTTATTGAATAAGTAGCAAAATATGTTCAAAGCTCCCTGTGTGGAGACATCTGACCGACCCAGGGAGCATCACGAGGAGTCCGCTCCAGAGGCCGGTGGTCTCTGCGTCCCTGAGTGCAGCTGAGCGAGGTCGTCCCTCCGACAGGCTTTCCCTTCCCTGTGGTGGCAGACTTCTGCAAAGAGGCCGGTGGGACAAAAATGGGTGGCACCTCAGGGCAGGGGCGTCCCTGCTCAGAGGGGATGCGGGCAACACCTGGCAGTGAAGAGGCTTGGCAGCATCTCCACTTTCTAGTTTGAGCCCCGCCCTCCCTGCGGGGAAGGAGACAGGTCCTGTGGAGCTGGTCAAACGAAGTTTCCCCTCTTTTCGCTTACACACCCATCGCCCGCCCACACAGCCCCACCCTCTGTAAGAGGGCGTTGGTGGCATATTTGCTGGAGTGCGTGGTGTCAGAGCTGGCGCAGCGTCGCCCTGCCTGCTGAGGCCCCAGCTCTGTGGTTGGTGCCACGCCAGTTCATAAACCTCGTTTCTGTTGTTAAACGATCCCATGGCTGCCCTGTCCTGCAGGATTTTTACTTAGAAAATTGGCCAGCAAGTTTGATGAAATGGTTATAAAGAGTCTTGTAACTTGAAGTGCTTAACAGTGTTGTTATATGAAGTGCACTTCTCCAGAGCTGCCCTGTCCAAAACAGAAGCCACCTGAACACACACGGCCAAGTTTAAACTAATTAAAATCTCAAGTGCTCTGTGGTCCCGTGGCTGACACCTGTCGGCTCAGACGGCGCAGGTCCAGAGCATCTGTGCCACCTCGGTCCCGTTGGACAGCGCTGCGCTGGGTTTCCGTGAGTTGACGGTGGCTGTGTTTGCCTTTATAGATTCACAGAATGACTGTGTCCCTGATTTGTCCCTAAGTTAGGGGACAACAGGAGAGGCAAGTGACTTATAAATAGGAAAGTGTGTTTGATTTACACCGGGTAATTCACAAGGAAGTGTTATTCCCACACTGAAAACTCGGAAAATCATGAGTTCTTAAGAGAACAACAGATTAAACCCCCACCACTTGCCTCTTAAAGGAGTGGGCAGTCCTCGGTTTTCTCTTAGGCTTTCTTAGAGGTCAGTTGAATGTCAGGAGATCAGATTGGATGCTAGTTTCTGTGGAAAGGCAAATAAAATAATGGAATGTTGACTGTTGAATGGCACAGCGGGTCAGCCAGTAACACAAGTTCACCTGCTTCCTGCATTTTGTCCATTTGCACCTGCTTGGTTGGATTCTTTAGAACAGCGCTGTGGTGTGGCAGGTGTCCGTACAGTTAGTTGGTGAGTCACATGTCCCCTCTCCCGGCTCGCTGGCCTCTGCACAGCCCCGCGCAGGGGGAGCCGCCACCGCGTGCCGGTCCCCCGGGTCTGCCGGGAAGGTGTTCTCGGCACAGCCTGTGGGGCACCTGAGCACAGGGTTTCAGTGGCGAAGAGAGAGGGAGAGGAGGGTGTTTCTGATGGGTGTTGATTAGTAATGTTGCCCACTCGCTCAGACGTAGATGACATCCAGTGTCAGTGCGTCTGTTGGGTTACATTGGTAGGGGGACTCTGCTGGGCAGTTTGTCCTGGAGGGAGAAAGGGAGGAAACCTGCGGTGCATGCCCGTGCGAGGCAGCAGCGCCCCAGGCCTCGTCTGTGAGACGCCCCGGGGTGCCAGGGGCAGGTCCCGGGCAGAGGCGGAGCATTGCAGGGAAGGAGCGGAAAGGCAGGAAGCCCTCCTTTCTATGACAGGAAGAAATTTGAAGCATCTCTTGCCTGACAGTTTCAGTGGTTTCACAGATACTTTTCAGTATGTTCACCTTATTTATATATATAATTCCCATTTCCATATAAATAATGAATATGACAGTAAGAAAAATTTTATATGGTACAGAATGGTAACAATCGAAATGCTCTCCGATGTGGGGTACTTTTTTTGGGTGAGTAATGGGGGAACCAAAACGCTGTTATGTCCTCCTCCCATCAGAAGAGTCAAAGGAAAACCTTGACCGCATCCCCCTTTGTTTAGGCTGAAAGTGAAGAGACCAAGGAGCGCCTGTTTGAGTCCATGCTCAGCGAGTGCCGGGACGCCGTCCAGGCCGTGCGGGAGGAGCTCAAGCCCGATCAGGTAGGGCCGTCTGCGGGGCCGCCGGCCCTCGCTGTGGGCTGGGCGTCTCAGTCCCGGGTGGGGTCCCGGTGGTCTGAGGGCACTGACCCTTAGCCACTCTTGTTTCGAGGGGCGGCGCTTGCCTAACGAACAACAGAAGCCCCGGGGCTCCGCCAGGGTGAGGCAGTCTGTCCCCTGCTCCTCCTGGTGGCTTCCTGCATCCCTTTTCGGCCTCGGGCTCGGGTTCAGGCAGGCGCCCCCAGGGCTTCCTTCTTCTGGTAGCGTCGCTGTAGTTCACTCAGTCAGTCTTCGGGAACCCTCAGTACCATTTTTGCAACTTTCTTCCTTGTCACCAAAAGCCCTACTTCCTCTCCCTCTGTCGTTTCTCTCGCTGCTTGTCCACGCCTCCTGGCGCTCATTTTACCCAGTGATCCCTCTGGCTCTCGGGCCGTGGTCTGTGTGATGCACTCCCATAGGCAAAGTGGGGCGCTCACCGCTCCGCTTATTTGTAGAGGTGTGCCTTCTTCCTCAGCTGGTTAGTGGTGTATCACATGCATTAAAATAAAGCTTTTAGAAATGAAATAAACAGAAGTAGAAGTTCCAGTTTCTCCTTGTACCCACCCGCTTTGGGCTGAGTGCACCGCACTTGAGAGGGCCCTCGTTCGGCAAAGACAGCGTGGACCCCGAGCTGGCGCACGCCGCCCCCTCCCCTGCCCCCCGGGAGGCCTCCTCGCCGCCCTGGCCCCTGAGACCTCTCTGTTTCCTGAACATCTCACGCAGCCCACTTTTTGGTTTGATAGTTAATCAGGAGTTGCCTTTTAATATTTTGTGTATTGCCTTATATATTTACTTTTTCGTTATGCTTTCCTCAAAATTATAAGTATCTAAAAAGCAATGAAACATTTTCTTCAGCATCTTCCACCGTGTGTTAGGTATACATGGTTCAGTAGGGATTTGTTAGACTATAGGCGCCTGCTCCCCTCTCCCTTGAGCTGCCTTTGTGTGTTACACTTCCCTGCATCCGCGGAGCAGGTGCCTGCAGAGCCCCAGCCTCCCTCATTGACCTGGACCTCACAGCGGCCGAGGGGCGCCTCACAGAGGGCGACGGGTATGGCGAGACCACGGTGTATTCCCTGTAGCTGCTGTAGCAGCACCACAGACTTGGCGGCTTCAGACAACACAGAGCTACTATCTTAACAGTTCCGAAGGGTGGAAGTCGAAATGGGTTCCCAGGGCTGCGTTCTTTCAGAAGCCCTGGGGGAGCAGGGGGGGAATCCCTCTCCAGCATTCCTGAGTGTGCATTTCCTGGCTTCTAGAGCCACCTGCCTGCCCTGGATCATGGTCCCTTCCTCCGTCTTCAAAGAGCAGCATGGCATCTTGTCTCCTCTCTGACCTCTGCCCTAGCCTCTGCCTCTGTCGCTGAGTCTCCTGCTGAGAAGGAGCCCATGGTCATGTGGGACCTGCAGGGTCTCACCCAGAGACCCTTGTTTTCATCACAGCCTCAGTCAGGGCCTCCTGCCACATGAGAGCGCAGCCTCTCGGGCTCCGGAGCTGCCACGTGGCCATCTCCGAGGGGCGCTCACTGAGCCAGCAGCACAGGGTCCAGCCTGGGTATAAACAGCTGCGGGCCGTGGGAGGTTTGACATCAGCGCTGCGGGCTGGAAGCCTTGCTGGCCGTTGCTCTGCGCTCTCTTACCACACTCAGATCCACTTTCAGTGGCAGCCGGGTGAGCCTGTAGCCCAGAGCATGCCCAGTAGGTCTGTGGCGTCCGAGGGCCTCTTCCAGGGCCCCAGGGACCTCGTCACTGAGGGAGGCAGGCAGAGCCCAGGGCAGGGCCAGCCGCCCCAACTCTCCCTTTTCACTTTCTGCAGAAACAGAGGGATTACACTCTGGACGGGGAGTCAGGGAAGGTGTCTAATCTTCAGTACCTGCACAGGTAAGGACTGTGAAACACTTTGTAAATGTTGTGAGCTGCGTAATTGGAACAAAAGAGGGCATATAGTGTTTGTGTGTGTTAATGTGTAATTTAATATACAATAAATAATGCTAATGTATTTATGCACGTTTTATCATGGAAGAGTATGTACACTGCATTTGGAACCTGATCTTTATATAACTTAACCTTTGTGCAGCGTAGGACCTGGAATGTAAACAATGACTTTGAAGCACCTAGTCGAGTCCTCTCTCTCCTCCTCTGGGATCATCCTCCTTTCTGTTCTGGATGTGTGACACTGTCCCTTCCACATTTAAGCTCAATTTAAACTCAAGTTTAATTCCACCTGGCGTTTATTTTTGAGCGAGGTAATCTGCGCCACGTTTTCAGGGAGGATGCTGGGTGGCCCAGCACAGCTGCGGGCGGCTCTGCGCCCCCCGCCACCCCCCGCCGAGCTGTGGAGCTGCCACCCTGCAGGCGCACTTCCCGGTCCCCGCACTGCTTGTGGGCGCCCCTGCTCCGCGCGCAGCGCCAGCTGCCGGACGCCAGCACAGTGTGCCCCCGCAGCTGCTTCCTCAGGCGGGCCTGGGCTGCTTTTGTCCCTGTTCTTTCCTGTACGTTTGTACAGCACCTTGTCAAGTGTGATTTTTTTTTTTAGAGTGGGCCATTTTTTTCACAGAAGAAAGGAGCAAGGAAGAGCAGCATTTTTGGAACTTCGTGGGGAGAACTGGAATTAGTTGGGAAAACTGTTTCTCATCAGATTCTGTTCTCTGTGTGACTAAGAAATTAAAATTTGTTTATAAATTGTTGGTGAACCTGTCAATGTTTTCAGCTGTCCCCCAGCTTCCTAGTTTTTTTATAAAAACAAAACCACAGAAACTTTTCCCTACCTCCAACCCCGTTCTTAGGGAATTTGATTGATGCGAAGGTCACGTTGACTGCCACAGGGCTCGGACAGACCGCTGAGCAGGAGCGGCCCCTCGACGGCCTGCGTTGTAGCAGCCTGATGAGGGAAACAGGCTCCAGGAGGTTGAGGGACCTGTGTGTAGTTGGCACAAAGAGTCAGAATCAGGAGTCGCTCCCGCCTCCCAGCCTGGAAACGACGCCAACAGCTACCACAAGGCTCGGGAGTTTCAGGCCGTGAAGCCCCTGACCCCCGGGTCCCTGTCCCACCATCCACTCTGGCCAGTGCCGGCGGGTGGGCTTCAGCGGGGTCTGGAGGCCGGTCTTGACGGGTCGGGAGCAGGTGGCTCTGGGATTTTACTAACACTTCGAGCGATGTATCTAAATCTCCTTAGCACTTTGTGAGTAATAGTTAATTTGCTTTGAGAGAGTGACTTCTCTTCACAGCTTTAAGAAAATTCATCTCATGACCTTCTTTCCTTTTCCCATTTCTCAGAAGCAGCCATTTTTAACTTTAACAAAGTTTTTTGGCGTTTATCTTCATGTTTCTAGGGACAGATATGTTGCTACCTCTTCTGGGGATTTAGGCATTTCATGCCTCTCCTCACAGCAGGCCGCTCACCTGCTCCGCCCCACTCTCCGCCCTCCTCCCTGACCCTTCTCGACCTCCCACCTGAGTCCTGTGGGCCTTCGCAGTTCTGATGCTATTTCAATTTCTACAAACCTGTGTTCTTTGAAATACAATGCTTTGTTCTAATTTTACAAAGCCTTCCCTTATCTTTCTGGGGTTATTAATAACAGTTTTCTTGAGTTTTCTGCTCCCTGCAGTCTGGGTCTTCTATGTTACCTTTTCCCCTCTCGATTTTGACCTCCTCTGTCTGGTCAGATGTCTGATTCATCCCCTCCTGCAAAGTGGGCAGCCTGCCTGGGGGTGGCCCTGCCCTCACCCACCGGGCTCCGCACCTTTGGGCTTCCCTGTAGGTGTCCTGGCTCTGCGCCTCCACCAGGGACCGCGGCTCTAGACTTATGGAGGGTTTGTTTCTTGGGCAGGGCGATCCCCAGGAAACACCAGGCTGCTTCTGCTCTGGAAGCTGAGCAGGGGAGGGAGGCCAGGAGGTCGGCAGCACTTGGAACTTGACAGTCCTTTAATGCCCCTGGTTCATTAGGGAGTCCCTGACCTCGGCCATGCCTGGACCCCCTGGACCCAGATCTCCTGTGTCCTTTCCCAGGGGTGCCTCTAGCTTTCTGCCAGAGGAGGAGGAGGTCTGGAGGCCTAAACACTTCTTAAACAGATTTTTAAATGGTCGCCCTGTTTTTATGCACAGGTATTAGAGAGATGTGCCTGGTGGTCCAGTAAAAGTGAGCAGGCATCGTGCAGTCTCTGGTGTACACACGTGTTTAATGTACACAGCCATCCACAGAGACTGCCCTGCCCTCTTTTCTAAGAGAAGGTCATCGGAGGAAGGGGCAGCTGCCTCTGAGCACACTGTCCTTAGAGTGTGAGCGTGGGCCAGGCCGTGAACTAGCTCCTGTCCCAGGAACGCGCTTGCTCTCCGTGGATCGCCTGAAGGACTGGGGATTAGTAGCTCTCTGTGGCTAAAATCGGATTTTGTCATGGGGCCTTACACTGGTCCTCTGCATATTAGCCCCTGAACAGCAGGTAGAACAGAGGGCCCCCTGAGCTTGAGGACCAGGCTGACTAGCTCGGCCGCGTGACACGCCCTCACCCCCATGCTTCCCCTAGGTCAGCCCCAACGGGTGGTCCTGTGCTCTTCCCAGAACGTCAGCTTCCTGAGCATAACCTGAGCTGACATGTGGTACATTCCAGCTACCTGACTTACATCAAGCTGTCGACGGCCATCAAGCGAAATGAGAACATGGCCAAAGGTCTGCAGAAGGCCCTGCTGCAGCCACAGCCGGAAGATGACAGCAAGCGCGCCCGGCCCCAGGACCTGATCCGCCTCTACGACATCATTCTACAGGTGACCTTGAGGACTGGGAATGCAGGGGTCTGGACTCTGCATGGCTTGGACACCAAGAGACTGCTTTGCATAGCGAAAGGGTGGAGGTAACCAGCAGCAGCTCTTAGCGTCTTGGTAAAGGACAGAGGTCTTGTCCTACTTTTCAGTGGTCTGTGGCCCCAACACGTGGACATGCTGACCTACAGACTAGCGATCCCACGGGTTTCCCTGAGCACTTCGCCTGCGTGCACTCCCCGTGTGCTGCGACGCGTCCCGAGGCTGCGGCCAGGGCGTCTTGGCCACTGGGAGCTTGCCAGGGAGCAGGCTCATGAGGCAGCTTCACACACAGGCATCCGAGCAGATGCCAGATGAGCAGGCTGCACCGAAATGGAAGTGCAGGGCTGCGCGGCTCCCTGTAGCTGAGCTGTTCTCTGCAGGGCTGAGGCGTGAGCCGAGTCAGATAGGACGGATAGGCTTTGGCATTCGAGAGGATGGAGGTGACACAGCTTGGCTGCCGCCAAGTCAGTCAACTCGGACTGTTCCCTTTATTCCAAGCTTAGGCTGCTCCTTTTCCCGCTTGTCTGTCCTTATGAGATCTTCGGTCAGAAACGTAGTCTGCATCTCCTCTTCATGGTCTTTCCTTTTTGCATCTTGTGCAGAACCTGGTGGAACTTCTTCAGCTCCCTGGCTTAGAGGAGGACAAAGCCTTCCAGAAGGAGATAGGCCTCAGGACCCTGGTGTACAAGGCTTACAGGTGAGAGCAGGCAGACGGGGCTCCCCTCAGCCCCCAGAAGGCTGGGGCGCCGGCTCTGTGGTCCCCTTGCCCGCGGTCGGAGAAGAGGCAGCCCAGCGCGGTCTGGGGGCGTGTCAGGTCGGGACGGGAGTCCGGCGGCTCGGGCACTCTGGCGTAGGACGGAGGAGCTGGCGGGCGCGCGCACCGAGTGTCTTCTCCTTCCTCCCAGTGGAAAAGGGACGAGTGTTGGAAAAGGTGTTGGTGGGCAGAATTAGAGCGGAAGCTGAGCTTGTTTTTTCAGTGACTCGGTCATTTTTAACTTGGGTGTGGGCTGTGTGGCAAGAGGAGGTTCTGGACACAGCGGCAGGCCAGCGCCCTCTCTCCCTGGCTCCTGCCCCACTGCGCCCCACCTCCCTCTTCCTGGGCCGCGGACCCCGCTGTCCTGCTGCCCAGCAGCCCCAGGCTCTGTTGGCCCCAGGGGACTGGCCTCCCTTAGGAGGAGGGTTTTGGGTTTGGCTCCTGAAAAAGGGATGAGCAGAGGCGGGCAGCTGTGGCCCGGCTGTGTGGGAGACGCCGGCCGTGTGGGGCGCGGGCCTTCCCTGCCGCCTCCGATTGTGGGGGCCAGTGAGGCCAGCCTGGCAGCCGGCACCTTCAGCACCTTGGCGTCTCCCAGGCGGTGATGCTGAGGTCCAGGAACCTGTTTCCGATGTAGAAAGCAGCCACACTCCCGGGAAGGCCGCGCCCCGGGCAGCTGTCGCTCTGGAACACTGTGCTCTTTCCCTTCCCCGTCAGGTGTTTTTTTATCGCTCAGTCCTACGTGCTGGTGAAGAAGTGGAGCGAGGCCCTTGTCTTGTACGACAGGGTCCTGAAGTACGCAGACGAGGTGACTGCGGACGCCGGCGCCTTCAGGAACAGCCTGAAGGTGGGTCGTGGGCCTATCGTCATCTCTGAGTGGGGACAAGTGCCGTGAGGCTCTGTGGGCCGCCCCTCCCGGGCTGGTCTGACCTGGGTGCGCGGGAGCCACTGGCTGGGTCACGCGTGGCAGCGTTCCCGGCCCAAGGGGGACTTGGTTCTAAGGAAGGAAGCCATCCCTCTGGATAAAATAAACCTGCAGTACTGTTCTTAGATTCAGCTGCATGTAGAAATCGCCTGGGAAGATTTTTTAAAAAATGGATGTCTGGATTCACATTCCTCTTTGGCCCTCACACACCATTTATCTTGATTTGCTGCCTTTGGGGGGAAAAATGTGTGTCTGGTTGTACTCCTAGAGAGTCCAGTTCTAATTGGTGTGGGAGTCTGGGATGAGCTTGGGGTTTCTTAAAGCCCCCCTGATTCTCATGGGCAGCCAGGCTGGGAAGCGGCGCTGAGCCCGCACCCGCCCCCCCCCCCCCGCCCCCACAGTGCCTGGGCCAGCAGCGGCGGCTCTCGGGCGGAGGCCGGAGTGCAGACTCTCGGGCCCCGCCCAGAAGTCTGCGTTTTAGCGGGCCCCACAGGCGATTTGGGTGTACGTGAAAGTCCCTGCCCATCTCGAGCGCTGGCGGCGTGGTTTCTTGTGCTGATTGTCAAGTGGCAGCAAGCTGTTCCCGCTCGTGATCTGGGGTGACGCAGGGATCCTTAAAGTGCTGTCTGGTCCGAAGAACCCAAGTGTCTTCTATGAGCAGAGACTGTTTAGAAAGCGAGCAAAGTTTATCATAACAGCACTATTATTAGCATAGTCTCAAGCGGTGCGTGAAAGCCGCTGCTCTCAGACTGTGGCTGTTTGCTCAGAACAGCACTAGGCTTGGGGGATGGGGGCTGAAGTATAAGCCCAGCTTCTGCTGTCAGAGAGCATGTGGAGTTCCCACAGCCACAAGGCCTGCCTGTAGGAGCCCGCCCCTTGGGCAGAGGCAGGGAGATCTGGGAGCAGAGGCAGAGCGGGGCCGGCGGGGGGGGGGGGGCGTGGTGCAGTGGGCAGAGGGATGTGGAGGCCAACAAGGGTGGCAGCTTGTCTCAGGAGGGAGGAAGCGTTTTACAAAGGCCCATCCTACGTGATGCGCTGCGGGTCGGGGGGAGTCTCGGGGACAAGAGGTGTGAGGGCCCCGTGGCTGCCAGACCCTGCCCGGTCACTGAGGGCTACGAAGCACGAGGCGGAGGCAGCAGGACGGCCCCCACTCAGGCCAACTGCCTGGGGAGAGGCCCGGCTCCGCAGCCCCTGCGAGTGCAGCTGGGCACGTCCTGCGGCCCTCTGTCCTTCCGTCTGACCTGCAGAGTGGGCGCGGGCTCCCCAGGAGCCCCGTGAGGGGGACTTGCTGCCGCGGAGGCTGCCCAGGGCAGGCCCAGCACAGGGTGCGGGCTATGGGAGGTGAGCGTGTGTGCTGACGTCGCCGTTGGTCCGGGCCCAGCGCCTGATCTGTGGCTTAGATTGGCCTGTTTGAGACAGGCCAGTGGTGTTTCCTTTTTTTTAATAGGAAGAAGTGTGTTAAAAGTCTAAATCGCGTGAAAATGCCAGTGGGGTTGCTTAACGCCAGGCTGGTTTGGTGCCTCTCTGGCCGCCCAGCTCAGGAGCGCACGGTTTCTGACTCATTGCAGGACTTGCCTGACGTGCACGAGCTCATCACGCAAGTGAGGTCCGAGAAGTGCTCCCTGCAGGCCGCGGCCATCCTGGGTGAGCCCCCGGGGTGCCCGGAGCCCCCGCCGCTGCCGTTCCTCTTCTCCCGCCCCCACGCTGCTCTCTGAGGAGGGAAAGGGGTTGTTTTGGTTAATCTGTAAGCGTCTTGTTTTCCCTGCCATTACTTTTGCCACATTAAGGCAGCCAGTTGTGTGGAAGGATTCAGAGAAACTACCCTACTGTTCCTTTTCCCAAGCCGCTGCCCCCGTGCGGGGTGCTGGCCCGCGGGGCTGAGGGCCCAGGGCTCCCCGCCTGAGCCTGTGCGGCTTCTCAGCGGGCTGGGCCCAGCAGGGAGGGGCTCACTCGCCCACAGGTTGGCCTCCTCTGCTCTTGGGATCTAGAGCCCACGTGTGTGGTGGTGTCATTTGTGAATCTAGCTTGCCTAGTCCCTGTCCTTACTGAATCCCTGTGAAACTTTTAGATGCAAGTGACTCCCACCAAACAGAGACCGCCTCTCAAGTCAAGGACAACAAGGCAAGTCTGGGCTGTGGCTCTGGAGGGATGGACAGCAGGGTTCGTAGCTCATCAGGAGCGGGCGCCCACGGGGAGGGCAGGAGACCCGTAGCCCCGAGGACAGGCCCCGCTCCCCTGCTTCACTCAGACGCCTGAAGGCTGCCTCTGAGGCTCGTTAGGTGTCACCCAGGTGGTCCCAAGTGAGGCGAGCGCCCGGGTGCTCCCTTCCCAGCCTCTGAGGGGCAGTGGCCGTCCACTGTGACCTGGGGGTGTGGGAGCGCCCCCTGCCCCACAGGAGGCTCGCGGGCATCGAGCAAGGCCGCGCACAGAGGCCGAGCGGGCACCACGCGGCTCGTGCCCTGCTGTCAATCTGTGACTGACGCCGGCTCCTTCCTCTGATTTGACTTCCAGCCCCTGGTTGAGCGGTTTGAGACATTCTGCCTGGACCCTTCCCTCGTCACCAAGCAAGCCAACCTCGTGCACTTCCCGCCAGGGTTCCGGCCCATCCCTTGCAAGCCCTTGTTCTTTGACCTGGCCCTCAACCACGTGGCCTTCCCACCGCTCGAGGACAAGTTGGAGCAGAAGGCCAAGAGCGGCCTCACTGGCTACATCAAGGGAATCTTTGGCTTCAGGAGCTAACCAGGCTCTTCCATGGGGGCAGGGGGAGATTCTGACTCTGTGTGTTGTGAGGAAACCCCAGCGAGTTCCGTGATATTAAATCCAGGTCCGCATTGGCCCAGGGCGGGAGCGTAGCAGCCTCAGCCCTGCGTCCCTTGTCTTGTGTGTTCGTGCACTTACATCCTCAGCCAGCGTGCCGGGGGGGGCGCCCTGGTGTCCTCCGGTACGTGCGCGCGCGGTCCCTCTGTCCACCACTACTGGGGGAGGGCGCTGCCATCTGGTCCCTCTTGTGCGGTGACTGATTCCCTGTGGTCAGTCGTGTGTTCAGGGAGGAGGTTCACACCAGGCCCAGCTACGGGCCCGGAATGTTTCGTCCCGTTTCTTCAGTACCACGGATTTGAAACGAACTCCTTCTTGCTGTGAGCACCCAGAATCCCCTGAAAAGTTTGTTCGTGACTAGGACACATTGGCACCGTCTCCCCAGAATTACAGTCAGCCTTACCCCGTCACCCCCAAGTGGAAGTTCAGTTTCAAATCAAGCAAAGAGCTCTATTTTTAGAAGAAATGTGTTACACTCAGAAATGATGAAAACAAATCTTATATTAAAAGGCCAAGATGTTGGAGACTGTGCCCGTTCTTTGCACGCCCTCACGCACCCAGCCCGGGTCTCACGGGCCCCGCTGCACGGCGCTGTCTGGTCGGGCGTGCCCTGGCCTCCTGGGGGTGCGGGCTGGGGGCCAGATAAGTGAGTATTAGAGACGATGTAACTTTTTAGATGCCAGTATGCTTTAGTCAGTTTCTTTCATTGCCCTTTATTTTTTCCTCAGTCGCTCTTTTATTTCTGCTATAGCATCAATAAGTCAGAAAAGCCATGTGAGAAAGCAGGGAATACCAGTGATTGAAGCACAGGATGTTCCCGAAAGCTCTGACGCCCCCTGGGAATGGAAACTTGCCCCACAGGAGAGAGCACCCACCACGGGGAACGTGCGTGCGTGTGGCGCTGAGCGGTGCAGCCTGGGGAGAAGGCCAAGGGGTTCAAGGTCTGGGCCCCTCACTGCCGGGCGGCATCCCACATGGGCACGGCAGTGCCCCCGTCTTCCTGCGAGTTGCAGAGGGCAGCTGGCAGAAGTGAGAAGAGCACAGTGGGAAGAAAGGGCTAGAACGCCCAGAGGCGCCCGGGGGGCCTCCTCCCACACGATAGGCTTGGGGTCAGAGAACCTCAGGAACTGACTTCAGATGGAAAGTTTCATAGCCTCTGCCACGTAACTGAGGGGTGTCCTCCCTCCTAAAATGGGACAGATGCCTTAGGTTGTGGCATTGGGTGTTCGCCCCCAAGGCTCGGGGCCGGACAAGCTGAGGGCAGCTGGGGGCTGGCTTCCTTCCTTCCCCGCCGCCTCGCACTGTGCTCCCATGCCAGGCCGTCGTGCAGGCAGACCTCCGGCCTGTCCGTGCCAGTGTCTGCGGCACCGTGGGGTGGCCCTGGGCCCGAGCAGCGGCTCCTGTCCTCGTCCTCTGGGTCTGGGGAGGTGCCCCCTCGCCTTGCCCTCGGCCCTCCCAGTGCTGCCCATCACAGAGCGCCAGCATCCAGCGCTCTGGTTGCAGCTCTAGAACTTCCCTTTCTCCTGGCGTCCCTGCTGGCTGCTCGGACAAGGCGTGGCCATCGTCAGCCCGTGAGGCTGTGACAAGACGTGTTTAGTATTACAAGTATCTATTTACATGAGAGGACAGAGCTGGCGGGCCCGAGGTCTTCGGTGAGCTCACGCGTCCCTTCCCATGGCGTCCCTGGATGCGGAACAGGCTGTGTCATGTGAGACAGGGTGCCAAGGGCAGAACCCCGCTGCGTCCCCAGGCCCGGGGACATGTGCAGAGTCAGGCCCTGGGCTGACAGGGTCAAGAGTGAAAGTGCAGGGTTGGCCTGGTTCTTCCTGCCCAGGGAGCCGGCGGTGCAGGGAGGTCTCTGGGTGTAAGGAGGGGGCCCGGACACCCGCCTTGTTTCCTGGGAGTCTTCCCTGTTGTGTGGGCTGAGCCCCCCGCCCTGGGATGGGCCGTGGCACAGCCATCAGGTTCGGCCCCTGTAAGGGTCTTCTGTCTCCCCTGATTCGGAGAGGGAGGAAAGCTCAATTCAGCCTATTTTTTTTTAAAGATTTTATTTATTTTTAGAGAGGAAAAGGGAGGGAGAGAGAGGGAGAGAAACATCAATGTGCAAAACAGATTGACTGCCTCTCACAAACCCCCAGCTGGGGACCTGGCCCTCAACCCAGGCATGTGCCCTGACTGGGAATTGAACCTGCAACCCTTTGGTTCACAGGCCAGCGCTCAATCCACTGAATCAGCCAGGGCTCAATCCAGACTGTATTTTTAAGACGGTGTTAATGGTTTTATTTTTCTGCCTGCTGGGTGGCCATGGCCTTGACCCGCAGAAACACTGGCGGTGAAAAGCTGGCCTCCGCTATCGGGATAATGCTCAACGTGGGGCTGAGAAGACAAGCAATTTGTCTGGGTTTGTCTGCTTTTAACCTTGTTGGTTCTGTTTAGAAAAAAGCAGTGCGAGGCAGCTGGGGCTGGGTTTTTTCTCCTTTCCATGTGCATCGTTTTGATGTATTGTCTTTCCCTGGTTTTACATTAACGAAGTGAGAATTCCAGGCTCCCCGTTTGAAATGAAACACTGCTGGGCTTGACTCCACCCCCTTCACCTGCTGGCGACCTGAGCCTCTCACTGTGGCCCTGAGGCGACAACCTGTGCCCTTCCCCCCGAAGTGGCCCGGACCCTCGTCAGTCTTGCCTGTCGCTTCCCCAAGCCAAGGCGACGCAGGCTGGACCCTGGGGACCGAGGGTGGGGCTGTGCTCCACCGGCTCGCTGTCTGCACTGCACAGAGCGGCGGCTTCTTACACAGCGTCCTTCATTCTGCGCCGGGCTAATGGACCCCAGAATTCTAAACAGCACGTTGCTGTCTCAGCCTTGGAAAGCATGGAGCCTTCAGAGGTCGAGGATGATGTCCAAAGATAGGAGAAATATGTGTTGGTTCTAATATTTTGTTTTGAAGACACTTGTTGCTACAGAGGAGATGGAAACCAGAGTTAGCTGTAAAATTTATCGATGTTCCGAAGCTGAGAGATAAATTGGAAACTGCCCACGTCCTGACAGCTCAGCAACTGGAAGGATCCAGCCTGCTGGTGTGCTGGGTGTCCGAGAGGCCATGCGCACGGCAGTGGGTGGCAGGGGGCGCGGCCCCGAGCTACAGGGCGTCGGCCCTGCGTGCCAGCACCGGCTGGCACGGCGACACTGCAGGTGTTGGCTGGCCGAGCGGTTAGTTGGTACAAGTTAGGCTGTTTCGGATGGCAAGTGCTGATGGGATACTTAAGCGAACCTTTGGTCGGGTCCCAGCTGTTAAGGGGCTGTGATTAATCTAAGGACCCAAGGGGTGTGTTTGCTTTTGCTTTTGCTTTTGCTTTGGGGGCAGGGCTGCGGCGGCCTCAGCAGCCATTAGGAAGCTGCGGAGAAGTCCCAGGCAGGACGGCCCTGCTTCCTCCCAGCCCTGCGATGGTCCTGCCAGGAAGCCGGGCCTTGCTTCTCAGGCCCTTTCCGGCAGCAGGTTTCGTTCACCTCCATGACCTGCAGCTGTGGGCCTCTGGCTCAGCCTATGGTTGAGTGACCCTCACCACTTGGAAAAGAGCCATGTCCTTTTTATGAGGCTGACCTTGTCCCAGGGACCTTCCGGCGAGAGGCAGGACAGGCAGGTAACTGGGCCCCTGGGAGCTGGTAATGGCAGTGAGCTGCTCCGTCTGATGGCTGGAGTCAGGGGCAGTGGGCACCGCCGCCTGTATGACCGGCGCATCTGTTCTCTAACTTACGGAGAAAAAGGAAGAGCACAGAGGGCTTAGTGCCCGGTAGGCACGGGACGAATGTGAATTTCCCTCCGTGCCCTGCTGCCCGCACAGCCACCCGCACCCGAGCCCCGTGCCTGGGCCCCGAGGCGGTCTTGCTAGGATGAACCTGTGGGCGTGCTTCCTGCTCACTGCGGCCCTTCCGCGGGAGGCTCCCGGCCGTCTTAGCCCGGGGGCCGCCGAGCGTGAGCTGCTCTGCCCTGAGTTGGCGGTGCCAACGCAGCTGAGAGGTGAGGAGACCCTCCCCTTCCCAGCGGCCTCTCCCTTCTCTGAGCGGCCCCCCGCCTCACCCGCCTGCCTCCCACCCCAGCCAGGTCCCAGCAAAGTCCTTACGGCAGCAGGTTGAGTCCAGTGAGCTGCCCTGGGGCGCTTTCCAATTTCCTGGCAATAAAGACTAATCAGGAATTAGTCTATGAAGACTGTTGTTCGTGGTTCTTTCTTTCTTTTTCCCCTGTTCATTTTATGAACCTTTTCCTTCCCCCACCCAGTGAGCAGGGCTCAGCGGGACCTCCCCGCGGCCCTTCCCTGAGGCCGCTGCAGCCATCCCTCTGTGCCGAGCCAGGCTGACGGCCCTGTGCCGAGCGGCCTGCGTCCGCCCTGGACGTCTTCAGGACAGGCCCCAGGGCCCCAGACCTGGCTGTTGAGGCTGGCCATTCTTCCAGGTGGCAGAGTGGCCCAGAGCCCGTGGGCACCCGGGGAGACCCGGAGGCCCCGCAGGCTTCTGGGCTTCAGAGGTGGCTTGTGCCACAGGTGGCGGCAGTGGCCAGAGACATGGGCTGTGCCCGCACTGGAACCACACCTGCCCGAGGCTAGGGAAGGGAACCATTCCCAGAAGGGATAGGCACTCAAGAAGCCTGGCCTCGCCATACTAGCCAGCCTTGGGACTTGGGGACTCCTGAGAACCCCTCCACGTTCTCTGACTCGCCACCTAGTATGGGGAGCGCTATTCTCTCAACGTAGGCAGAGTTTGTGTGTCTGAGTTGCTTCCCCTGCACTGTCCCCGTAAAAGGCCCAAGGGGAACGGCCGGCACCGTTTCCTGCCTGTCTGGCTCCAGGCGGAGGACCGGGATCACTTGCTTCTCCCTTCAGCATTGCTTTGGATCAGACTCACTGGGCAGATTTGCAGCCAAGAGAGCCCCCTCCAGACCGCTCTGTGGATTCTTGGGGCTGTTGCCTCTACCTCCCCGAGCACCTGCAGACAAAGGGGGCTCATGTCCCAACTCCTCTCCCCACCAGCCCTTGTCCACTCGTCTCAGCTGGTGGGGGGACCTTCGCTGCTCCGCGAGCTGAGGAAGGTAAGTTACCAGCCAGCTCGGCTCCCAGGGTCCGGCGGCAGAGCTCTCGCATAAATGGAGGGCAGCTGTCTGAGAGGGCAAAGCTTGTCCCGACCAGGGTGTACACGGGGGCCCGGCGGGTGCCTCCACCGCTTCAGCAGGGAGAGGGATGCTCTCCCCGCAGGAGCCCCGTGAGCTGGAGGAGCGAGTGGGCAGCTTGGGCCCTGGGACACCCTCCCAGCTGCCACCTACTGCCTGGCCGCCTGCAAGTGAGCTGAGCATCCTCAGGGCTGGACACCTCCTGCCCAGCCTCAGGCCATGCGAGTTGCAAGCAGCCCTGGCAGCCGGCCAGGAGCTCAGGCCCGGGACGGAAGTGAGCTGCCACTCGAGTCACAGCGGGCGGAGTGCTGGCCGCAGGCTGGGGACCCAGTGATCTCAACCCACAGAGGA